TTTATTTAATTTTATATGTAAAAATTAAAGCGAACGGAAAATATTAAAATTAAGTAAACAATAGAAGTATTATTTAATTACATTTGAAAAAATTAAAGATTAGTTTAAAAATAATATTTAATTAAATAATTTTAAATTTATTAAAATATTAAAAGGAAAAAAATAAGAATGTGCTAATTTGTTAAAAAATAATATTTCATTTTCTTAATTATCAATTTAAAATTATTTATTTAATTTTATATATAAAAATAAAAGCAACTGGAAAATATTAAAGTTAAGTAAACAATAGAAATATTATTTAATTACATTTGAAAAAAATTAAAGATTAGTTTAAAAAGAATATTTAATGAAAGAATTTTAAATTAATTAAAAGGAAAAATAGAATTTGCTAATTTGTTAAATAGAATACCTAATTTTGGTAATTATCAATTTAAAATTATTTATTTAAAAGAAAAGGAAAACATTACAATTACATAAATAATATAAATATTATTTAATTAAATTTGAAAAATAAAAGATTTGTTTACAACGAATATTTAATTAAATAACTTTAAATTATTAAAAAATTAAAATAAAAAATAAGAATTTGCTAATTTTTTTAAAAATAATATTTCATTTTCTTAATTATCAATTTAAAGTTATTTATTTAATTTTATATGTAAAAATTAAAGCAAACGGAAAATATTAAAGTTAAGTAAACAATAGAAATATTATTTAATTACATTTGAAAAAATTAAAGATTAGTTTAAAAATAAACTAATCTTTCCATCTCCACTTTGTTGTCCCCTGTTAGTATTATATCGTCAACGTAAACAAATAAGATTGTCTTTGAACTATGCTTTGGGTGACTGCTTGAGACCATATATAGATTTCCTAAGTTTGCATACTTGATTTTCTTTATTACTTCTGTTAAAGCAGGTGGTATTGTCATGTAGACTTCTTTTCCAATTCTCCATTCATGAATGCATTCTTAATGTCAAATTGTTGGAGAGGTCAATCAAGGTTAACCGCTAAGGATAGGAGAACTCGAACTGTATTTAGCTTCGCCACTGGTGCAAATGTCACTGTGTAGTCGATGCCATATGTTTGTGTATACCCCTTGGCGACTAGCCGTGCTTTATATCGTTCTATTTCCCCATCTGCCTTGTACTTTAACGAACTGTATTTAGCTTCGCCACTGGTGCAAATGTCTCTGTGTAGTCGATGCCATATGTTTGTGTATACCCCTTGGCGACTAGCCATGCTTTATATCGTTCTATTTCTTCATCTGCCTTGTACATTATATTGAAGACCCATTTGCATCCAATTGGTTTCTTTCCATTTGGTAAGTTCACAACTTGCCACGTTTTATTTTTCATTAGAGCCCTCATTTTCTCCATTACTGCCTCCTTCCATTTTGGTGATTCCAGGGCCTCCTGAATATTTCTTTGAATTTCTGTTTTATCAAGGTTAGCTGTAAAAGTACGAAATTCTGCAGAAAGGTTATTATAAGATGTAAACTTTGAGATAGGATGAAGGGTACATGAATGAGTTAGTTTTCTGAGAGCGATGGGTAGATCATTGTCAGGAGATATGGTTCTGTCGGAGTTCTCATCAGGTCCTTCCACCTGTTCTGACTCTTTTGGTGCTTCAAGTATATAGGTTTCCTTATACCTTGATTTGGGCTTCCTTGAGTAAACTAGAATCTCCTTGTTTTTTGTTTTCCCACATCTCCCCCTAAATTCAAGTTTTTTTCTGTATGTAGCATAGTAGAAGGTTGAGTGACTAGGTCAGGCAGGAAAAGGTTAACATCCCAGAATTCTTGGTTAGAAAACCGATCTTCTAGGTTAGAGAACCGATCTTCTTTTCTGAGATTCTCCCCGTGAAGAGAAGGTTTTTGGAAGTAAGGAGTGTTTTCGAAGAAAGTGACATCGAGATTGACAAAGATTTTGTTGGAGAAGGGTCAAAACATTTATAACCTTTTTGTGTGGGTGAATATCCAATAAATACACATTTAATTGCACGGGGTTCAAGTTTGTTTGAAAGGTGGGAGTGTACGTGGACAAAAGTAGTACTGCCAAAATACCTTTAGGGATAGATCCGAGTTCAGATGGGAAGTTGGAAAGTGTTTATGGAATCGTTGTATAGGTGAGTAAAAGGAGAGAGTACGGCTAGGCATACGGTTGATGAGGTATGCTGATGTCAAAATTACATCTCCCCAAAACATTTTAGGCATGTTTGCAATAAAAATTAAGGCACGGGCGACTTCTAGGAGATGTCTATTTTTCGTTCAGCAATCCCATTTTGTTGGGGAGTGTTGACACAAGAGCTTTGATGGACTATTCCATTTTTCATTAGGTAGTCTTGTAAAGTTGTATTAAAGTATTCAGTGCCATTGTTAGTTCGCAAGATTTGAAGTTTTGTTTGAAATTGGGTTTGAATCATAGAGTGAAAAGTTATGAAGACTGAACGAACATCTTTTTTTCCTTTAGGAGGTACACCCAATAGACTCGGGTATGATTGTCAATGAACGTGACGAACCATTTAGTGTGGGTGTGATTAGGGGTGCGAGAAGGTCCCCATAAATCACTATGAATAATGGTAAATGGTGTAGATGGTTTGTATGTAGACTTAGGAAAAGATGTACGTTGATATTTTGTAAATTCGCAATTTTCATATTGAAACTCTATAGAAGTCTTTTTAAACAAATTTGGGGGAAGTACACGTTTCAAGTATGGAAAACTAGGATGACCCATTCTATTATGCCATAACAAAAGTTCACTATCACTTGAAGCAGATGCAGAGTTACAATTATTAAGTTGACCTAGTTTACTCACATCAACTTCCTCGAAGTAGTACAGTCCCCCATACTATTTAGCACTACCAATCATCTTCCCCATTGAAAGGTCCTGAATTACACAGTGAGATGGGAAAAAATTAGAAGAGCAATTGGAATTTTTTGTCAGTTGGCTAATAGATAGTAAGTTACAAGACAAGTTTGGGACGTGGAGTCCACAGTCAAGTGTTATGGATTTAGAAATTCGAATACTCCCTTTTCCCGTAACTGAAGAGAGTGAACCATCTGCAATTTTCACTTTAACATCTCCAGCACAAGTTGAGTATGATGAGAATAGTTGGTATGAATCTGTCATGTGATCGGATGCACCCGGATCAATAATCCTAGATGTTTTATATTTTATCGTGCTTAAGGCTTGTAGAAAGTTACCTTTATAAGCTAGGGAACTAGAAGAGCCTTTGGTAGAGGACTGACCAGATGTTTGAAGGCTAGAAAAAAATTGGTAGAGTTGTTCCATTTGTTTAGAATTGAATACACCGCTGGGTGTGGAATTTATAGTCTCAGCTTGGTGTCCCCTAATCAGAGTATTTTGCCTTGGTTTCCAGTCAGTGGGTTTTCCATGAATTTCACAACACGTATCTTCTTTATCCCCTGACCTACGACAATGTTCACACCATAATCTTCCTCGTTGTTATTTTTGGGTTGACCTATTTATAGCCCCTTTTAAAGAGAAGCCCAACAAACCACCTTTTCCACTTGAATTTTTAGGCCCAGACTCCAAGCCCAAGGATTTAAAGTTTCCTGTACTTGGCCCACTGTTATTAGGCCCAGAAAATGTTGGCCAAGTCGATTTAGAGTAAGAAGGCAGCCCATTACTTCTGGAATTGAGCGCCGACAACTCTCCAGTGGCTCCAAGCGATCTAGTCATCTCCTTTAGCATGACCAGCCGGTGACCTTCTTCCCGGCGAACCTCCACAAACACTTCACGAGTTGCAGGCAGTGGTCGCCTGCCTAAGATTCTGCCTCGCACATCATCCAACTCCCGGTTTAAACCTACTAGGAACTCGTAAACACGCTCATCCTCCTTCTTCTTTTTGTACGGAGAACAATCGTCCGAACACTTCCACTCCTCTACATTGAGATCCAATTCTTGCCAAAGACCCACCATCTCCATGTAATAATCCATTACATCCCTGGTTCCTTGCCAGATTTGCCAAAGTCGAGTTTTGATTTCAAAAATGTGTGATGAATCTTCAGAGTCTGAGTAGGTGTCTTTCACTGAGTCCCACACGTCCTTTCCAGTTGGGAGGAAGAGGTACGTCTTCCCAATGGCCGATTTCATTGAATTTACCAACCACGCAATCACCATGGAATTCTTTGATTTCCACTTCTGCAACGAAGCTGTCTCGGTTGCTCTCTTGGTTTCACCATTAAGGTAACCTAACTTCCCTTTTCCTTCAATTACTAATTTTACGGATTGGGCCAATGAACGGAAGTTCCTTCCATTCAACTTCTCCACCGTGAGTTGGAAGGATGAATTCTCCAGACCATGGGAGCCAATTGAGTGAACAACCTCTGTCTCGAAGTTTGAGGTTTCAGAGGTTGTCGATTCTTCTCTACTGTTGGCGGGGAATTCCGCCATGATTTTGCTAGGTTAGATATCTAGCTCTGATACCAAGTAGAAACGATTTTCTGTCTTATTAATCGAATAATTACAAAGACCTATCACACCCTATTTATATCACACGAGATATTACAAGAAAGGAAAACAAAATAAACTAACTATGGAAATAATATTTCCCTTCCAATAATTCCTAAACATAATCTTTGATTTATGGAAGGTTAATGTACGGTTTCCTACAGTTTGACTATGCTCCGCTAACTCCAAATATATGCGTCCATCATAGGCTATATTACTTCAAATTAATTTTACTGCCAATAGTCTCAAGTCTCGTGAGAACTTGACATAAGAATTCAGGTTCTTTACTCTTGATTTGGTTCTCTTTAAACTTTGTTTCTTATATTCGTTTGCTTGAAGGATGGATTTTCGTATATTGTATCCTTGTAATTTATGGATTGAAAAGAAAACAGAATAGAAGCTTCTAACAGTAGAAACTGCACTGGTAAGGATTAAATGCACATCCCACAGCTGAAATTCTGGTTAAAGAACATGGCGAAAAAAGTCGATTTTCACTACTATTACAAGAGAAATTTAGTTTAATTATCACGTCGGCTTCAAATTCTGAAACATTGTATCCCACATGATTTCTTTGACACTACTCGACCAAATCTCAGCGTTGTTACTATCAACTTTTTCATGGTCCAACGCGTGTTTTGTGATACGCAAGTTTTTATCAATTCTGTTCAAATTTTGATATGAGCCAGAGTTTAGAGAATCGACTATGGGGCTCCCATTTGTGAGCATCAACAATTTTTGGCCAGACTCAGCAATAGAATCTCCATTTGTTATCATCATTTGCCTTTCTGACATTGTAGCTCTCAACTTCTTTTTCCTCTGTAACATAGCAACCTTCCATCTCAAACTGTAATGCCTTTTCGATACAAGAGCTGAATTTTCATATTGTACCGAACCATAAATATGCTTAGCAAGAAAAGTCTTGGTATGCTTAATGGCGAAAATGAACCATAACATTGGGTGTATTCTACCCTTTTCTTTCATAGCAAGCTTGAGAATCTCGAGCCGATGTTTTGCCACAGTGATTCCCATGCTTTGCAGCAATTCATGGCTAAAATAAGCTATATCATCTTGTTGAAGTTCATTGTGAATAAAAGTAAGGGCGTAGTGATTAACAAGACAAGGCTCAAGGCCAGTGTTCAATAGCCAAGAAAACCAGTCCATGGCTTTCGTTTCATAAGAAATCGTCTCTAAATTTTGAATCCAATATGGAGGCAGAATAATAAGAAGAGGAAGGAGATCGATAAAAGGTGGTTGATGATATTGCTAGACGACTCGGGATTTTATTAGTCCAGCAGGTAGTTGAACTTGAGAGTGACAAAAGATAAAAGCGATGTTCCCTTCACTAATAGGCCAAAGTGAAATCTCACTTTAAATTTATAGGAGTGAAGCCTAAGGGATTCTTTTTGCTGAAAGTCTCTTCCATCCTCCTAGCTAGGAAAAAAAGTTACTTGCAAAGAAATAAACATTAATTAAGTAGTTTCAATCACATACCTAACCATTTAAAACTTTTTCAATGGATAGTTGGCCTAATTTACAAACTAGTTTCGGCTGGAAAATACAGCGTTGTTACCTCACCTACCTCTTTTGGAGATAAAAGAAGTGCATAGTCAATGCAACTGTGTTGATGGCAAGTTTTTTAGTAAGGCAATGTTCCGACTATAAATATCACTCTTGATGCTTCTCCAGAGAGGTCACTAAATTTCAATGGGGTCACTAAGATTTAATTTGCCTCAGTTAGGTTATTGAAATTTAAAATACTTACAAATTTTGTCGGTTTTTGACATTAGTCAAGCACATTCAATCGTGAGTCTGGATCTATCATATGCCAAACTGACGGATATTGTTTAGTTCACTCATACCATAATCAATGTTCAGCCGTCTTTAGTTCGGATTGCAGGCTGCAACCCACCTGCATGAAACCGGAATCGCTAATATTCGCCTATCAACCATACGGCTGTAAATTCGTTCCCGGGTATTGTACGCACCGCTCGTCATACCATGGGAACTGGTCATGCTCGAAGTCGTTACCTTAACCAGAAGGAGGGGGATGCCGAAGGCAGGGCTAGTGACTGGAGTGAAATCGTAACAAGATAGTCGTACTAGAAGGTGGGACTAGATCACCTCCTTTTCAGGGAGAGCTAATGCTTGTTGGATATTTTAGTTCGACACTGTTTCACCCAAAAAAAAAAAAAGATTAGAGTTAAACTTGGAGGTGGAAGTCTTCTTTTGTTTCTCGACGTTGAAATAAGACCAAGATCATTAGCATATTATCCTAGGTCTGAACAAGTTGATAGGATACCCTTTTTTACGTCTCCAATGATGAAATTTGAAATTAAATTAAAGTTTAATGAGTCAATTAAAGCAACTAAATTTAGTAACCCGATTGAGTTTTCACTAAGTTCAACAACGACGGAAAAAATTTACCATATGTTACCATTTTAGAGCATTTTATCGCTTTGCTGCGAAGCTAAGAAAACTTTGTGATCTATTTTGCATCAATTCGTTGTACCAGTCAATTTTTCATAAATATAAACTTGATGATCGTGACGGAGATAGGATATTTAGTTTGGAGGCCTATGGTGGTAGTCGGTGAAACAAGGATCGATGGCGGGTAGCATAGAGATAGTTGACTGAGAGGGTGGTGTACGGAGGAGAAAATCATAAAGCTATATATTTTGTTCATAAAAATTTGGTGAGAACGTATAAAGTAATCAATTTTAAATTATCGTACTTAAAAATACACATAAATTATTGTTTTATCAATTTATCCCTCAAAAATTAGTTTGTATATCTAAGGCGAGGAAACATAATGATTAAGTGAACGAAATTATGTAAAACTAGGAAAAATCAGAAATTTTTATTCTATAATAGGGGCTTTAAAAAGATCTGGGTAGATAATTTGGCTGTTTTCTCAATAAAAAGCGAAAGGATATCAAAATAAATACGCCCACACTAAATATTTCATTGTCGATGATCCTTGAAATTACGTGGATGTAAATGGAGCGTCAACCAACGAGTCAGAAAAAGTTGCTAGGCGGGATAGTCGGTCGACCTCAAGATCATGGAGCGATCGATTGACCACTTCACCAAGTTGTTGAGCCACGACACTTTGGAAGGCAGACCGTTAATCACTTGATATTGACTTGCTCAATAATTGAATGACGGTGATACTCCACTCACCAAAACGCTAGAAATGATGGAGACTCTTAAATCGACTGGCACATGAATAAAAATTGCTTAGCACGTGGACGAAACTGACTGCTATAAATACCTCCAAAAGGCGTGTGGTATGGTGAGGCCATCTTTTATCGAAATTCTTACTTTTGAGCTATATCATTTTCACCTATATCGTCTTCTTCATCTACTTATTCTCACGTCAAAGGTCAAGAGGGAAGACAGCTCCAACCTCTTTTTGTAACTATCTAGATTGTAGGTGAGACCGGCACCACGTTAGTCCACTAAGCTAAAGAGTCGTAAGAGAATAATTTCAATCATGTTAAGAAGGAAGTGGTCATTGAGCATAACACTTATGATAGCTATTGTAAAACAACCAAGATATCAGAATTGTTTTGATACCAATTGTTGTGAAACAAACCACCGGATTGAGATATTGAAGTTATATGGCAAATAATAATGAAATATATGATCAAACAAAAGAATAATAAAGACAAGAATATGGTAGAGAAATTAAGAGATTTTATTGACTCAATAATAATGGAGAAGAGATAAAATTTACAATGAATCATATAATTCTAGTATCAAAATCTGAAATGGTATCGGTTGTGAAACAAACAAGATACCAGAATAGCTCTGATACCAATTGTTGTGAAACAAATCACCGGATTGAGATGTTGAAGTTATATGACAAATAATAATGAAATATATGATCAAGCAAAAGAATAATAAAGACAAGAGTATGGTAGATGAATTAAGAGATTTTATTGACTCAAAAATAATTGAGAAGAGAAAAAAATTACAATAGATCCTATAATTCTAGTAATCTATTTTCTCACGTCATAAAATTGTATAGAAGAGCCTAATATTTATAGGGAACATATAGAAGATATCCAAACCCTCCTAGTAGAGTTATTGATGAAGTAGGATACCAAAAAAATCGAGTCCAAAACAAATTACAACTTCTAATGGGCTTCCAAAATAAAACTTCAACTTGACATAGGACTCCAATAGCATTCCAAACTAAATTCTTCTTGATGTACACTTCAATTAGAATTCTTCAATTACTTCAACAAGGAATTCGAGTCACACCCAAATTCTAACAATCTCCACCTTAACACGAATTCCACCAAGGAATGAATTAGCTTCTTCAACAATAACCAAAAAAAATCATTTCTCCAACCAAACACAAAATACTTCACCTCTTCCAATGAATCCAAGCACTATTCTGCAGAATTACCTCAAATTCCAAAAAATCAAAATGATTTTATAATTTACCAAAATTGGCTGTAACACACCCCAAAGCAGAATTAAACCCAAATGCTTTTAAAGAAGGCACATTGCTAGATTGAACACATTCTACTCCACTTAAAGCATGCTCAACAAAATCAACATCCACATACCATTTTTCATTAGGTCCGTCCCTAACAATTGAATACAATGGCACCGCAGGTGATAGTAGTAAAGCGGTATTATCCATATCTCCTGAACTCCACTGAACTGTATTTTTCAAATCCGACCATTTATGAGCTCCTAAAGATATTGTACCAAGTTGAATGTCCACCACGGTCCTGAACTTGTGCTGATTGACTCTTCTAAATTTTGCAAGACCCTGCAAAATGTATAACTGAGACATTTTCTATCCCTCCAATACAACTTGGGCACCCTTGCAAACCTTCAAAGCTCCACCTCCATCAAAGATCTCATAACCTTTTGAATCAAGGATAGACAACAAGATGAGATTTTTCTTCAAATCTGGAACATGTTGAACCTAGCCAAGTGTTCTAATTGTCACATCCAAAAGCTTCAATCTGACCGTACCAATTTCAACAACCCGACAAGATGCGTTATTTTCCATAACCACGACACTTTTGAAAGCAGTTTCATATGTAACAAACAAGTCCTTATTATGACACATATGAAACACACATGCTGAATCAAGAATCCAATCATCTTTCGGTTTAGACTCAATGTAATTAATAGTTAAGAGATCTCCATCACTTACAACGTTCTCTGCGAGGTCTATTTCGCCTGAAGTATCTGAATATCTACTTGTAGTCATCTTTTATTTATTCTGCAATTTGTAGCAATCCTTCTTTAAGTGCTCCTTCTTCTTGCAATAGTTACAAATTTGATTGCTGAACTTAGATTTCGATCTGCCCCTTCTAGAACCACCATGATCAACCAGACATTCTCCATCTCTGGCCTCAGAAACCTGATGTTTCATCTTTTCTTTTGAATACAAAGCATCATACAATTCCTCTATGATGAGAATATCACGACTATACAAGATCGTGTCTCTAAATGAAGAAAACGAAGCGGACAACGAACACAATAGGATCAAGGCCAAATTTTCTTCATCATACTCTAATTCCAAAGTTTGCAAATCAGCGACGATCTCCTTAAATACAGCTAGGTGATCTTCTAACGATCTTCCTTCTGCCATTCGATAAGAGTATAAACGCTGCTTGAGGTTTAACTTGCTTGTAAAACTTTTAGTCATGCACAATTGCTCCAACCTCAAACATAAAGTATCTGCTGAATTCTCCTTCAAAACTTCCTGAAGAATAGTATTTGACAGATGAAGATGAATGCGAGAAACTGCCTTCTTATCCTTCCGTAATTTTTCCTTCGCGGTCAAAGTTGCGGGCATCCTATCAATTCCCAGCAAAGTATCATCCAAATCTAGCTGTGCAAGTACTGCATGCATCTTAACATGTCACAGTGAAAATCTAGTGCTCCGATCCAAAAGTAGAATGTCATATTAAGAGGAATAACTCAATCATTTATAAGTTAGTTTATGTTTACATCTTTATTCGATGTGGGATTCTATCCCTTAACATGCTCCCACAAGATGGTGGCTCGTTTTGAGCAGACCAATCTTGAAATCCGTATGCTCACTTTTGGAGTTTTAACCTGATCGAATTGCTCGTTAGAGCTTAATGGGCTCTGATACCATGTTAAGAATTGGGTTCCATCTTAAAAGG